AAGTTAGAGGGATTGATATCTTTCGTATGCCTAGCGCGTAGACGAGATTTTATAATTTCATAGTTTTAAACGGCCTAAATACCTTAACTCGCTTAAAAAATAACGAGCTATAACGAAATGGGCACAGACATAAAATCTAACATCATTAAATTATTATACATATTTATATAAAAGCGCGGGGTGAAACCCGCGGGTATAAGCTAGTATCTTATAAAGAGAAGTGTACAATTTTTTTTTATCTGAAACTAATAAAGTTAGAAGGACGAAATTCGAGGATGTGGTAGTAAACAAATATTGGAAATTTCCAAGGATAAAGTTTTTAAAGGACATTTGCAATACTTTTTCGTCCTGCTGCACCCAAAAATTAATATTTTTTTCTATTCTACATAATTTTTCCTTTTAATCACCGATATTGTTATTGTACAATGCAGCTAATCTTTTGAATAATTTTTTTATTCAATCATATTCCAAAAATTTTAAAGCCTTTAAAAAAAAAATCCTAACGTTAGAGAGAAAAACTAAAAACACAGTTTTACTATATTTGGCCCCCAGTTTTGTGAATATACTTATTTTTTCGTGTGTAAAATTGACTTTCGCATATACATATATTTTCACCATTAAATTTTAAGATTTTGAAGTATCTTAAATTACTAAAATTAAAAAAATCGTAAAATTTCGAAAATTGCGAAATGGATGCGACATATTTTCTGCATTCTGCCGTTTATATTAATTTGGTGGTTATACGTTAATAAGCTTTAACTTATAAATACATATATGTACACATATATATATTGGCACACAGCATTTTTCACAGTGTATGCTAAATTTTTTTCCCGCTAATTTTTTATAAAAATACTTTACCATTTTAACAGCATTCAACCAAATACTTTTTGCATTCTAAGCAGCATCTGACAATTAATAAATGCGAACGATATTTTATGAAGTTTTTTTTTATTTCATTCTTTCTTTTGTACTCTATAAATTTTACAGGCTATTTTTGATTTATTCATTTTAGTTAGTTGCTAAATTAAAATCGTAGCACTTTACCTTTCCGCGACATATGATCTGAGCGATTGTGTCCCTGTAGAAGAAAAATCGTTATTTAACTTTTTAAAATCACTTTTCTTCACATCGTTTACCCGTAGACAACGTCCACTATGATGCCAACGTAGGCAAGGAATCTGAAATATGATCGTCTTTAGCCCCAAATCCTTATTAGAGTAACTACTGATCACTGACTCAGCGCTAGCAAAAGTGCAACAGCAACAAAAAAATACTGCTGATATGAGCGCAATCAACTTCATTTTCTGTGCTGTGAGTTCGAGCAAGTTTTAAGCGATACTGTTTATGCAATGCATTATGGTAACGGACCGAAATGAATATCTAAATGTTTAAGATTTATTTTCAGAAGAGCAAATGTAAAGCGAAGGCGAATTTATGTACATACATAAATATAATTGTTAATCAGTAGATCAGAAAGTACTTATGTATGCAAGTATATTACATAAGGGGTACGGTAAGATACTTGAGTGAAAGCAAAAAGAGTGCGAAAATACCAACTGATAACATACAATGGGTACATACATATAAGTATATCAAATTTTCTTAAATCAGTTCGCAGCTCTTAAGAAAAAAAACCTCGCATATTTATTTCTTCAAGAAAATTTACAGCAAAAGCAAAATGCTTTTCAAGCAACAGAAATAATAAAAAATATTTCTTGTGATTTTTCGTGAGAGCTTTTAGATCGGTGATGGGCGCCGCCTTGGCCGCGGTCAAAGCTCTTTTAAGCTTTTTATACATTTTGTATAAGTGCGTTCAGAGTAAAAGCTCTCTCTGTCCATCGCTGTTTAAGATACAGTTTTCATTTGAAGTTGTAAGCTTTAGAGGGGGTTTTGAACCCCAAAACCCACCCCTTTTGTGCGCTAATGGGTATCGTTCATATCAATGGCACCTCATTTCAATGTGATATTGTTTGCCACTTATGTTTATTTATTTTTAAGAATTTTCAATTAAAATATAGTTCATTCTCCAACAAAATCCATATAAAGCCAAGTTTAAAACTTTGTAGGAAACGAAAAAAGTTCAGCAAATTTCCGTTAAAATTTCAAACTTTTGTCTTAGAAGTGTTCGAATTTTTTTGAGTACATAGTTTAAACGGCTAGACGTATTTCAATAAAATTTAGCGCACAAATAGGTTATAACCTGGCTTGACTTATAGAATATCTTTTGAAGAGAGTTGCCACATTTTAGAAAAGTTAAAAGCAATTAATTAACAAGTTAAATAAATATAAAATATATATATACAAATATTTTTTAACTCCGTGGCCACATATTAAAAAAGTCAAAATCGGTTAATTAGTAAGTTCACTAAAGAATCACAAACATGTGGGCGTCAAACGAAAGGGGCTTAAAACTCTTTATTGCGAAAATATTTTATAATAGGATTGCCACCTATTTAAAAAGGGGTTCTTTTTTTAATTGAACTAATGAACGGGATGGTCAGTAGTCCCTTTTTACTGAGTGAGACAAATCTTTGTACTCCTGCAAGACCCTCGAGACATTTTAATCCTATTTATTGTGTTGAGTATTTGTGAATCAAACTTTGAAATGCGTGGTGCTTTTCGGTGTTTATGCCAAGATTTTAACAGACATTATGATTGCTTCGACACATCTGAATCGCTTTTTGTAATAAAGAAAACTTTTCTTACAAAGTTAACTAAATAAATTAATATCTTTAACCGGGAACGAAAAAATTACACAATATCTATGACTGCTCACTACAATTGTAACGGCTTCGTATATTTTCGCGACCGCGTAAGACAATACCAGCATGGATCGGAAGCCCGGCCTTTCCGACCATGCCCAACAGTTCGTCCACAGTGCGGAGCGGAAACTAGGCCTTTTCGCTTACCGCACACAAAGGTAGACTGGAGACTAGGACTCGCCAGCTACCCAACTAGCTATTTTCTTTTATTATTATTAGATATTACTATAAATGAATATGTATAATTAGTTTATTCTGTAATATATCATACATACTTAAATATCTAAATGTACCTTTTTATCTCATTTGTCTGTGAGAAAGCATTTATGAAAATTTTTTATTTTCCGTGATAAAATTTATTTTCTTTTTGTCACATTTGAAATCGTAACGTTACGCCGAACTTAAGCCGGACGGAGCGGCGGGCAAAAGCTAGTATATACACACAAACATATTTACACACGCGTGACCAACGCATTTAGTATTTCACAATAATGCGCATGCGCCTTGTTTTAAAAGCAGAGAGATCCTGCAAGGAAACTAAGCAAACCTAAGACATTAGTTGAGTTTTTTTTTTTTAATCAGAATAGAGCAAATCGATATTATTTTTACCTACAGCGCGTAAAGTACTTCCGACGTGTGCCCAAAAATCTATGTCAAAATAATGCACGCTACAACCACTTCAGAAGGTGTTGAGCTCCTGCTGTGACTTTATGAACCAAGATTTGAGTGGTGGAAAACATATTTGATCATACATAATACTACCTACATATGTATGTATGTGTATTGTGCGTGCATTAGGATGCGCCCCGAAAAATCTTGTTTAAATTATAAAATGTGGTCAATTTTATCACTCTACATTAATACCAGGCAGCTAGTAGCCTCGCGAGGCTATGTGCGGTAAGTGTGCTACATATGTATGTATCTATGTGTGCGTGTGTATTTGGCCTGGCACTGCTCTACATCAAGCAGTTTGCCTCAATTGTGTGCTGTTCACATAAGACTTGTTGAGAAATCAACGATGATATATTTGGCTTGGAGGCAACCCGGTTTTGGCATTGTACTATCTCCAGTGGCATTGTTCGTTCTGCGTTCTTGAATTATCTGCATACAATATTCTAAACAATATAGTAGGTCCAGCTCATGTCAGTCAAATGGACTTGAGCCAAATTATCTTGGAAGGTGTCATAAAATGGATCAAGTGGAGCATACTTGGATAAGGAGAGTTGATGTTTTTATTGTATTTCGCTCGTGGCGGCCTAACGTACATATATAAATTTAGTGATGTACATGCATGCCTCTGAATAAAAATTAATACATTTTCATCCAATTAAGTCAACTTAGCTGACGTCAGTATGTTCTCGTTCTCACTCTATTAAAGAATTAATGAACATTTATGTTTGCTTATCAGCTTATTATCAAAGATATGCTTTTGTTAATTAAGAGAAAGGCACTTGCTGTTGCTTGGATGGGTATGTATGTACATACAGCCCGCGACAAAACGATAGCACCTCAACATTTTGAACAGTTTTCACTATTTATCTCTTGTTTGTTTAATGTTTATTATTTTTAAATAAAAGTATAGCTCTTTATCTAACAAAAATAATATCAATCAAAATTTCATTCCTTGTAAAAAAATTATAAAAATTCCGCAATTACAAGCATTTTAATTTCTAGTATAATAAAGTGCAAGTTTGAAGTTGCTAAACAATCGTGCCGATTTTCGATGATTTTTTTTTTGCTGACGGTATCACGATTTTCTTCCATACAAAGTAGATTTTCTAAGGGGAAAAAATGCATAACACCGTCTGAAAAAAAAATATCAAAAATCAATGCGAGTTTTTAGCAACTTCAAACGGTCACTTTATTATGCTAGATTTTAATAAGCTATAAAATTGCATATCAAAAATTAATTTAGAAATTCTAATTAAAATACTGGGAATTGGTATGAAAAGTTTGTGCATTTTTTTAATTTTTGTACAAAGTTTGAAATTTGGACTTATACGGTTTTTCTTAGATAATGAGCTGAATTTTAATAAAAAAAATGAATGTACCTTAAATAAAATCAAAAGTAAAATAGTCAAAACTGGTAAAAATGTTGATGTGCTATCTTTCGTCGCGGGCTGTAGTTCATAGCCACAGATCAGGAGCCATTTATGTTTTCTCATAAGCACACATGCTCATTCAAATACATACATTTGTACAGACATATATTTAGTAGTTAACGCAGGCCACAAAGCAACGCAATTCAATTTACCGCCACAATTGGAAATCAGCAGCTGAAATGAGGGATTAAGACTCAAGTGGATCAGCGAGATCTTTTGGAAAAAATAACAACAAACCCTTGTAGTATATTTTGCGGAAGTGTCGCATGGGAGCCCGCTGTGACGCTGCTCGCAAAGCAAATGCAAAGACCGAAATGCGGAAAGAAAAAGTACTATATGGAACTTATATATCCTACAAGATAGGCAGTCCTGCAGTGAGATTGCATTTCATGTGGTCAAATATTTACGCTCTTGTTATAGTTATTAAACTCCTACATTCATAACAAGCAGTGCGCGCTGGCATTTGTTGATGCCTTTTTTATGTGTAATGCCCATATTTATACTCTTTCATACATTCTTTATGGTCAATTTGTCGCCACTAACGACTTAATTCATTTCACAGACAGTGCGCCACCAGTGTGCCAGCAGCCAGCGCATCACAGTTGTATGCTTGCGACTACTGTTCCTGAAACTATTAATTTTAAATGCGGCAGAGCGTAGCTGCGGCTACTGCTAGCGATTGATGAGTAGCGTAGAAGGGAAATTCTTGAAATAAGAGATCAGCAATGACCATTAACTAATTTAAAAAAAAAAAAGACAAGCAAAAATATATGTGGATAAATGTACATTACCGTTTGCTTTGAGTGGAGAAAACATTGAAAAGAACATCGCCATGAAAAGCGGACGTGCACTTTTATTGTTGCTCTCCAACGGTTAGCTATACGTTGGTAATTGAATCGAAGTGAAATTTTACGAGAGGCTTCAAATTAAGTGCAAGTGAATTTGTTAATTAATCAATCATACCAGCTGTCTTTAATTGGACAGTGTGCTATCTGCTGAATAATAGCATATTTTGGATTATTTCATATTAAGTTTTTCTTCTAATAATGGATTACGGAATATTTAACAATTACTCAGTCACATTAGATGGATTGATGCGTGAAGCGCAAAGTATTAGTCCTGTGCACTCGGAATTCTCTAACGCCAGCGAGCCAGAGAAGCCGCGCAAGGAAGTGAATGCACGTGAACGTAATCGCACACAAAGGTTGTGAGTTGAAAAAAATGCTGTCAAAGTCAAGTTAAATTCTAGATAAAGTTTAGCTACTTATATAAACTAAAAAGTATGTAGAAGCCGCTATATAATCTAAATATTTTTCTTAGTGTCAATTCCGCCTTTACAACATTGCGCAGCTTAATACCAACAGAACCATGTGATCGAAAATTATCAAAGATTGAAATATTACGATTAGCTAAGAGTTACATAGCACATCTGGACGCGGTCGTTATGACAGGTAAATATAATGCTTAGACTATTTCTAATTTTAATGAAATACAATTCAGAAAATGTAATTTAAAAAATTTTTTGACTCACATATACATACAAACACAAAATTTAAGCATTTTATACAAGTAGTTATAATCTAATAAGAATCATTACAACTACTAACTTAGTAGAATTAAACTGAGACAAAACTTACTAAATTCGATTTATTTACAGGCAACAACGAGAAGCCGTGTGCCAATTATACTAGCCCCCATCTGTGTGAAAATATAAACGCAGCAGACAAACCAACAAGATCAAGTATCTGCACATTTTGCGCAACTTCAAGCGGAAGCAAAAATTAAAGAATATATAAATTGAACGTTGCTTAATTTTAATGGAATATTTAATTGATAATTATGTACATATGTATGTATATAAGCAAGTTTATCATATAAAAAATGTTTGAGTTTTTTAAGCTAATGGCTTAAAATATTTTTTATTTGACAACTCTTAGTAATGGTTATGCTTTTACATTTGAAGATAAAAAAAAATTGGCTTTATTTTAAGTTTAGTGATATACAAATATTGGCGCAATAAATGTTGCAATAATAGAGACAATCTAGAATTTGTAATACTGTTGTACTTGTTTACTAAGGAACATATTTTTACTTTTTTTTAATCATCTGATTTAATTTTTCAACACAAGGCAAGTCAATTTTTAAAACTTACCTACCTGCGTTATTAAAGCTTATAGCTAGTTAATGCTAATACTTAAGTACATTTTCAACAATTCCAAGGCACTAAATTATCACTGTTGAGCTGCTCCTCAGTCAAAATATGTGTTGTCTGTTGACTTTGCACATAATTCTCATTTTGGGAGCTATAAAATATTAACCAAAATGCAGGCAATTTAATTAATCTTAAAAATGTTTTACATTACCTAAGAAAATTTCGACAGTTTTCCACAATATTACTCCCAGTTTGAAATGTTTCATCACAGGTCGCATTTGAACTGCGCAGCGTTACATCATTTGCATCAAATATTAATTTATTATCATTGTGGTGCATTATCGCAACATCTTTATTAATCTTCTTGGCAGCAGTGGCGCTGCTAAGATTTGGTGCACTAGCCTTCCCGGCATGCTGTTGATTCATATGCTTATTGAGGTTTGCTTGCCGCACAAAACGACTCGGACACAGCTGACAAGGGTATGGCTTATCGCCGGTGTGGCTCAGCAAATGTGTATTCAAATCCGTTTGTCGTGCGTATTTCTTATCACAGTGTGGACACTGTATAGTTTTATCCATATGATTAAGTTTCATGTGCGTTGTCATCGATGAGTGTTGTATGAAACGTTTGCCGCATACATCGCAACCGTAGGGACGTTCACCGGTATGACGACGCTGATGACTTTTAAGTGTGGTGGGTCTTAGGAACCGATCACCGCAAAATTTACACTCGTAAGGTCTCTCGCCAGTGTGTGTGCGTATATGATGCTTTAGAGCATAGATTGTAGAATAAGCCTTTGCTATAAAATATTAAATTTGTATTATCAACTATAAAATAGCATTGCTTTCATATACATATGTACATACGACACATTGTGCACAAATAGTCCTTTTCGCCTGTGTGCATTACCATGTGATAGCGTAGCTTGGAAGCCGATATCATATGCTTCCCGCATACGTGGCAAGGAAACATACGTTTAGGTTTGGGTTCCTTCGGTTTACGCTTTTTTATATAATTTTGGTCTTTATGTTGCTCCGTTTCTTTTTCTAACTTTTTGCTATTGATGGATTGGCATGGGTTCGATTTATCACAGCTGGTGTCTAGAGTTGAAACTTCAACCTCCGAGTCGGGTTTTATTGAAGACTTACGTTTTTTGTTACGTGTACGCTTCTTTTTTGTTGTAACACTCTTTGCAAGATGCACTTCCATATGAGCTTTTAGGCCGATTGAAGTAAAATAATTTTGTTCACAAATCGCGCATTTGAAGCGTCCTAAAATTCAACCAAAATAATAACTAGTCATTATATATTTCAAAGCTTTCAGACCTTTAGGAAAAATGTGCGCTTCTGGTGAAAACATTGAATCCGTGATTTCTTCATTGTCAATGTTTTCATCTCCTCTCAGCTCATCATCATCGTACAATGGCTGATTACCTAGAGGCACAGAGGCAGTTTTCGTAAAGGCTACGTTATTTTCGTCCACATCGTAATTATTGAATACGTTGCATTCCTTTTTAACTGTGCAAATAAGTTTTTGGGCATTAGATTTAAAGATTTGCAAAATTTACGACAATTACTAACTTATCAATTGTTTAAGTGGTTTGTCATCCTCGGTGTCATAAGCGTTATCCGAAAACGTGTGAATGGATGCCGGCGACTTGAGTTTGTTCTCTGATTCCTGTGAATGTTATACAAATTTTTTACAAACAAATAATATAACTTTTCCATTAAGTAGCTTTCAGCATTTGAATAACACAGACTTCTACTCACATTTTCACTCTCAGAATCTTCAAGCGGGTCTTTTGTACGCTTCGCCACTTCCATACTGCATGCGTCAATTATGTCAGCATCTGCACGCATATACGCTGCTGCTGTATGATTATCGGGCAACTCGAATTCGGATGGTGATACTGCTCTCGCTACATTCTCTTGTTTTTGTAGAGCAATTTGACTGAGTAGCTTTTCAAAACTTCGTATAGCTTTATTACGAAACTCATAAGCGTCCTGCAGGTCACCTGGAATAGAAGAAATCCTTTTAATATACTTCCAAAAAATTACCACCAAATAGTAACTGACGACTGCATCTATTACACAGGTATTTCGGCATGCCGTCTGCCCCTGTTGTCATATCCAATTGAGTGCAAGCTGCGTAGGCTGTCGAGTACATAATGGGCTCTTGCATTCCGTCTTCTGGGAAAGTATCCTGCAGTAAAACGCGCCGACCTTTGCATTTTCGCAAGCACGCCCTGCATATTGGTTGTATGTTCTTCGGCATATTCCAGTAGTTAACTAACATCTCTTATAGCCATGATTTCATTATCTTTCAAAAATTCACAGCTTACCGGGATATTTAATTTAAGTTATCAGGTAATAAACTAAATCAAACAAAAAGTAAATAAAAATAAATAGATAAAAACAATATGCGCCTTGAAGGTTTTTTTTTTGTTTTTTAATCTTTTGTCTTTGGTTGACATTCTGTTTTCTGACATTTATGTATAGTGTTGCCAGATCCTTTCAAAAAACTAGTGTTCCAAATATTTTCAACACGAAAAAAACCTCCAAAAGCGAAGGGATTTTGGAAAATTTAGTTTTTTAACCGTATTACCAAAAAACGTAGATAACAAGAAGGGACAACTCGTTATAAATGAAGAGAAATTAAGTAACAGGGGCGTGCCTTCTCTTTTCCTCTAGTACGTTTTTTTAATTGGATGAAAAGAGAAGACACGCCCTTGTTACTCACTTTCGTTACAGTTATAAAGGTTGCCCCTTCTTGTTATCTACGTTCTTTGTTACTACTGAAATGCAAATGACCCCATTTTTCTCAAAAGAGGAGAGCTGATTCTGCATCGCTCCCCTTTATCTTAATTACAAATTTTACTATAAGATAACCGAGAGGGATGTTTAATTCAAAAGTTCAAATATGAAATTTTTAAAAACTGTCATTTGTACTAGTAGTTCCATTCTGCGCGTTACCGATGACTTTGTAACTGGAAAATTTATTACATACCAAAAAATGTGACCGCTTGTTACTGCAATTCTAGGCACGTAGGTAACGCAGCGCAAGAGACTTGTTGATATAAAAAACTGTAATGGCACTTTTGCAATACACAATTCTGTCAGGACAATAAAGTAATACGTTTTAATTGTCAAAAACGCTGATAATTGTCTTCGTGGAGTAGGCGTCATGACAATAGTTATGACAATTCATATAAAGCAAAATATCGGACGTGAACGTTGTATTATAATAAGCATTTCACACGAACCATTTAAGCTAAAAACTAAAAAATAAAAAATAAGAGACAAAGTTACATAGATATCAGCGTCTCTTGTGTTATTTTAGTTCTTTTGTTATGAATTTCTCTTTTTGCTTGCACAAGACGTCAAAGTTATTGTCTGCATACGTCAAATCATTGTCCGATATACTGTCTTGAAAATAATCAAAGCATTGATTGCGACAATTAGAAAGGTATGCATTAGTGTGGGCCGAAAATCCGCTTTTTTAGAATTTTGATTGGTAATAGCAAAAATATGGTTAATTAATAATAATGATAATAGATTGGCGCTTACACATATGTTAGTGTTTGGCCGAGCTTCTCCTCCGACTTGTGGCGTGCGCCTTGATGTTGTCACACAAAGCGGAGGGACCTACAGTTTTACGCCGACTCCGAACGGCGATTGTATTTTAATGAGAAGCTGTTTTTCATGGCAGAAATACACTCGGAGGTTTGCCATTGCCTGCCGAGGGACGACCGCTGTTAAGAAAAAACCTTTTTCTATATTTTTGGGCTGTTGCTTTGACTAGGGTTAATTATGCTTTAAAAAAAATCTGTGTGAAATGTGAAAGTTTTTGGTCAATATCCTAGGCTCGCCCAAGTCCATCAAAGTTCAAGTACTAAAAAAAAATTTGTCTTAGCTAACTTCGATTCTCCAAAAAAGGTCCATACACCTAATTATGCAGGACTAATACTTTAGAAGATTTTTGCATTGTCATCGCTGCCAGGGCGGGGCAGCTTGTATTCTATCATTCTTGAGGCTCGATATGTTCATGAGCAAGAATGATAGAATACAAGATTGCGCCGTCCTGGGCAACGACATGCAGTTACTTGCTGTCTCCACAGGCAAAAGTTTTTGTCTTGATAATGTTATCAGGCAATATTTTGCCAATGGAGACCGCATATTGCTCTTGGCAAGCAATAATTGTCAGAGTTTTTATCTTGATAATTATTGCCAGCAATTTGGTACTTTGACAGCTACATTTTCATTTGCCGATAGCTTCGTGGAGACAACATTACCGATATTTCAATATAAAAGCAAAAATTGAACTGTTTTCTATTAAAATATGTGTTATTATTTGCTTGGGTGTGAAATAGCATATTTTTTAAACTTTTTAATTGATGAAATCCGGCAAAAATTGCCATCTTATAAATGCTTTTATCAAGATAAAAAATGCCCACGCACAAATATTGCCGCTGATAAAATTTTTATCAGGCAATAAAAATGACAGTTGGTAGGCAAAAACTTTTGCCTGTGGAGACGGGCCGTTACGAATCGCTAGTGTAGACGCAAATAAGTTTTAAAAAAATGTTCGACATGGCAGCATCAGTTGCGGTTAGGCCAGCTGTTTTTGACACTTGGCATTTATAAACTTAGCACTCTGTTATTGTGGAACGCCAATCAACTTATAAAAATCGCTAAAATATTTAATAAAATAGCTCTTCGAAAGTAACTTTAAACAACAATATCTAAAATACTAACATGCCGAAAGTCCGCAGAAGTCGCAAACCACCACCAGACGGATGGGAACTAATCGAACCTACACTAGAGGAGTTGGAGCAGAAGATGCGTGAAGGCAAGGGATTTAATTCATTGTAAAATTTAATTCAT